TATTCTCTAACACACAGTGATAGTGACTTTCTTGCATTTCTTGGGGTGAAATGATTAAAGAAAAAAATTCTCATTTCACATTCAACATACACTCAGCAACCACTAAAACCTGATTTTGCAAAAATGTAAATAAATTAGTTATGCTTACTTCACATGGATATTTCTGACTTTCATTCCAGTTTTATTGCTCTGTTTTTTTTTTTTTTTGCCTGCTGATGAATCACAACATGACTCTTTCCAGCAGTTTCATTTTATGTCAAATTCTTCCCAATGCTTGCCAGTCTCTGTATTTTAATCTTGCCAGCAGTATAACTGTCACTTATACAAGGCCATGTATTAACAGTCTTATTGTCACGACAACTTGAAGAGATAAAGAGGAAAGTATTCAGGAAAGCACACAAGTGGGAGTATTCTACAAAGTGGTAGATCTTGGGAAAAATCTTGAATAGAACTCTCATTTTACATTTGGAACATGGAGGAAATAAGGGTGAGTTGGGGTACCCTACCAGTAAAGGTCTGAACTAGTGGAACTAAAGATTAGAGCTCTTCTGAAATTTTGCAATAGATATAGCAATAGATTAACGACAGGCTTGTAATGATGTGTGTGAGAAAATAGGTGGCTGAATAGAAAATATCTCACAGGAGTACATGAAAGATTTTGAAAGATAACTGGAAAATGAAAACTGAACAGCACCTGTCTATATTTCTGAGATGAGGTATTATGTACACTATTTACATTATTTGGACTATTGTCCTCATCTTTGTCGCCATATTTATTACAACATTTCAGCCGTTGTATGGAATGTCGAACTGAACCCTTTATTTTGCTCACTGGGGTAGACTGTTCTAGTTCCACGTGCCATGTTTAATGGATGTCAGTTATCAATTATCTCCTGTTAATTCTCCTCTTCAAGTTCTCCACTTAACTGGGTATTGAACTCACACTCTTTGGGTCCTGTCATTGGATCTAACTAACGCCTTTATACACTGTGCCATGAGGACATCTGTGTATGAATTTCTGGGTATTATAAACATAATGTCTTCATGTGTGCCAGAGAAAACAACAAAAATTGCAATATGAGCTCTGGTAAAAACATAAATGATAACAGCAAAAAATGCAATATGAGCACTGGTAAAAAAATATTTGTTGTTGAAGATATTAGGTTGAAATGTTCAGAAGAGCTCTAATCTGTGACAGGACCCAAAGAGTGCGAGTTCAATACTCAGTTAAAGCAGTAGAGAACTTGGAGAGAGGAATTAACAGGAGATAACTGATAACTGACATCCATTAAACATGGCACGTAGAACTAGAACAGTCTACCTCGGTGAGCGAAATAAAGGGTTCAGTTCGATATTCCAACCACCTGAAGTAGACCGGAGCATGCAACGGCCAAAACATTGTAATAAATATGGCAACAAAGATGAGAACAATGGGCCACTTGTAAATGTAAAACATTGTAGGAAGAGTCAGGTACTACCTGGAGTGATAGTATTAGTCGGCCATTTTTCCAGCATCTTTAGCAATGAACTTGACAGGAATTATTTTTTATCCTAGAACCCTTTTACCATAGATGAAACATTGCAAGCCTCATGCTACACTATTACCATTCCAGGGAAAATGTTCAGATGAGATACATACCTTAGTTTCACTAGTTCTAACCTTCACAGGTAGGACCCACCATACCACATGCATTCTAGCAAACTTTATTTCCTGTCCTGGGTATGATGATAAACTACATCTGTGTCCTCTGTAAGACGATAAACTACATTCAACAGCAAGGCCTCTGATCAGGAGGTTTTGAGGAGCATGGAACCACCTCTTAATTGCTGGTGTTCCCAGGTTCATCCTGACCAGGGGTGGTAGCACCTGTTAGGGGCTCCATCTATGGGAAAATAGTTAATACCCAAACTGGAGTCAAAACACTATGAAAGAGTAAAAATAGGTTTTAATACCAGAAATACTTACCAGCAATATATTTTTGAAAAATAAAATATTACCAGCAATAAAAATCTTTTTGGCATTAAATAACCTATTGAGGTTGATATGCCATAAAACAAAACAAAACAAACTTTATTTCTAAATATAAATTATTATTATTATTATAATTATTATTGACTGAGAGAGCAGCATACCAACAAATTAATGTTTTCTTTAAATTACTTGAAGTTTCACTGATGTATTCCTTGTGGCAATTATTACAATTGATAGAGTAAATTCCTCCTTCAAATTTTAGCTTATTATTTATTTTGTTTTTGTATTAATTCTTTTATTGTTTTAGAAATAATGTAACAAATTTTAGTTCCTAAATATAAAATAGAGGAAGAAGAGGGATAAAATAAAGAATACAAAGTGAAGTAAAAAAGAAGAAAATGAAGACATATGGGTAAAAAGAAAAGGTATAAAAAGACAAGATGATGAGGAAAATTAGAAATATTGGAAGAGAAGAAAAGTAGAAGAAAAATCCCAATAAAAGTAAGAATAATAAAGAAGAAGAAAAATGAGAAGAGAGGGAAGAATAGTGAGAAGGAAAAGGAGAAAAGAAGGAAGAATAGTGAGAAGAAGAAAAATGAGAAGAGAGGGAAGAATAGTGAGAAGGAAAAGGAGAAGAGAAGGAAGAATAGTGAGAAGAAGAAAAATGAGAAGAGAAGGAAGAATAGTGAGAAGGAAAAGGAGAAGAGAAGGAAGAATAGTGAGAAGAAGAAAAATGAGAAGAGAAGGAAGAATAGTGAGAAGGAAAAGGAGAAGAGAAGGAAGAATAGTGAGAAGAAGAAAAATGAGAAGAGAAGGAAGAATAGTGAGAAGAAGAAAAATGAGAAGAGAGGGAAGAATAGTGAGGATAAGAAAAAGGAAAAAGGTGTAAAAAGATGAATAAAAAGAACAATGAAAATGATGGAAAAAAAGAAAGAAAGAGAAGAAGAAAGGGGATAAAAAGAAGAAGAATGTGGATGTGAAAATGAAGAAAAAGATTGAGAAAGAAATAAAGAAGAATGAAGGAATAAAAAGGAGAATGAAAACACAAGAAAGGGGATAATAATAATAATAATAATAATAATAATAATAATAAGAAGAAGAAGAAGAAGAAGAAGAAGAAGAAGAAGAAGAAGAAGAATGGGAAAGAAAGAAAGAAAGAAAGAAAGAAAGAAAGAAAGAAGAAGAAAAATGGGAATGAGGGAAATAAGAAAGCAAGAAGAATAAAGGGAATGAAAAGAAGAAGTAGAAGAAGAAAAATCCCAACAAAAGCAGAAATAATAAAGGAGAAGAAGAATGAGAAGAGAAGGAAGAATAATGAGGAGAAGAAAAAGGAGAAAAAAATAAAAAGACGGAAAAGAAGAATGAAAATGATGGGAATAAGAAAGAAAGAGAAGAAAGGGAATGAAAAGAATAAGAAGAATGTGAATATGAAAATGAAGAAAGAGATTGAGAAAGAAAGAAATGAAGAAGGATGGGAGAATAAAAAAGAATGAAAACAGAAGAAGAAGAAGAAGAAGAAGAAGAAGAAGAAGAAGAAGAATGTGGGTGTAGAGAAGAAGGAAAGAAATAAAGACAAGAAATATATAAATAAAATAAAAAGAGGATGAGGAAAATTACAAAAAGATGTGGGAAAAGTCAGAGTAAAAGATGAAGAATAGTGATATTAATATTCATAATAATATTTACAATGATCCTAACACAAATGACATTAAAATTATGACCAATTAGCAAATGAACAATTTTTACACAAGAAAATATCCCGATTTCGTTGCAAGTACAAGGGAGGCAACTCTTCGTTGATAATTTGAATCGTCTGTTTACATATCGTCAGATCAACGTCAAAGCTGCTTTGACCTTCCCAATTTTGCTTATCAGTGATAATGTTGTTCATCTCCATCTTTTTTTATTGTTATATTAATGTTCACCTAATACAAGACCCAAGAACCACTCAAGTTACTATCTGGTGTAGAAAGAGAAGTCTAGATGTTTGAGATTATGTCAGAAGATATTAATGCTTGTCCAAGTGCACATTCATCCTGTGTATTTTAGATCTTTTAAGACAGTTGACATTAGAACAGCACACAGGGAGAAGTGGATTCATACCTTTCCCAAAATAAAATACAAGATGAAACATTAATACAGCAAAAACATAATCAACGTCAACTGGAATTTAAACTGGCGTGGCAAGTCAGTGTTCTGTATTTTTTAATTTTTTTTTTTTTTTTTTTAATCATTTCACCCCAAGCAAGGTGGGAAGCCACTAGCATGCAAGGGGTTACAGAGAGTTGGAGCTAGAGCAAATAGGAGTGATAGTGGAAAGGATGAAGAGAAGGAAAGGGGATAGATCAGGGCATCTGGAGATGTCAATTGACATTACATTTGAATAGTTGGAGATTATAACTATCAGGGAAACAGGAAGAGGGGTGAGAGTTCCACAGGCGAGAAGTGCGAGACATGAAGCTATTGGAGTAGAAGAGACGGCTACATTTAACAGTTTCAACAGTGAAAGGGTGTGAGCGAGATGCCAGCCTAGTAGAATGCTTGAATTCATGAAGTTTGGGAACCAGCGAAAGCAGCTCCTCAGAGCAGTTACCATGAAAGTATTTGTAAAAAAGACAGAGGGAGGCGACAGCACGTCTGCGAGAGAGTGACTGCAGATGAGATGCCAGATCAGGGCCAATTACATTGCATATCTGCCTCTGGATCTTATCAAGAACCTTGAGACAAACATAAGGGGCACCAGACCATATATGGAAGCAATACTCCATGCAAGAGCAAATGGTTGATTTGTAGATTTAAAGGATTGACTCCAGTGAGAAAAATTTCCTGATGCAGCACGGAGCCAACTTTCCTTGTGGTGGACAAAGCTCAATGACTCCACGCCCTTAAAGAATATTGGTGATCATGGCTCTCCACATAGTCCTTTTCTGTATTCTTTATGAACTGTTATCATTTCCTGTTTCCTTTTTTCCATGGTTTTGAGTTGAGAGAAGTCCTTCACCTAGACTGGAAGCTTACAGGCACATCACGTTGAAATACTGATTCTCATATGATCAGTAAAATTAAGCAATGTTGAGCCTGTTCAGTATTTAGATGGGTGACCACTTGGGAATACCAAATGCTGTAAACTTGGATATGAGGGTGCTGTAATGGTTAACAGCTCAGAGAGATGAGTTCCAATTTCAGTCAGGTTCATTATATTCACTTATGTTCACTCTTCGGAAAGGCATGAATCTTTAGTAACCCTCATTTCAATTTCAAACATTTTCTTGAATTTCTTTGGTTGTTAAATAAAAAATAAGCTTAGAGAAATTTCCATAACAAAATTTGTGCAAAAGTAAGCTCAACAGACACACAAAAATATCTTTCTTAAATTCATCCCTAATTTAAATGTTTCAAGAAATCCTATTGGCTAAAAAATAAAAAATATAACATTTGCCCATGTATTTCTCAGAAAAATTCGCAACAGCTACCAAGCCCTGTTGAGCCAATTTCGTTGTTAAAAAGACTATAAATAGAAACAGCAAACGAATTTTTGTCGCATTTGAGACTCGCACGTGCAACAGATACACATGGGGATTATGTGTAAAATTGCTGCCAAAGAAACAAACTTTCTTTATGAGAGATTAGAAAAATTTACACAACAAACTTTTTAACTTAATATCTTTCATAGAAAAATCTTTTGTCTAAGTTAAATTCAACCTTTTCAATCAAAGGCAGACAACTTTTTAGACATTGAACATTTCTGAAACAGCAAAGAACTTTTCTTTAAAATATACCTTTGCAAACATCACTACAAACAAAGAAATTGTAAATTGTGTATATAAAATTTAATCTGTTGTTTCAAACATGTATTTTTTGTTGTGATTGAATATCGTTACCATTTGGCCATTTTTTATAATTTATGTTTGTGGATATTGCATATTTTATTTACAGCACAATCTTAAATATTCACACAGCCTTCCTAGATCCACTACAAATCCACTTCTTCTCTCCCCTAGCAATGGGTTAATTAGTAAAACTTGTATCAGTAAAATCATTATTATCTCCAAATAATTCTTACAATCTAAAAATATTTTCTGGCTTTAAATAACCTGCAAAAGGTTGATAATCCATAAAAACAAAAATCAATCAATCAATCCTAGACTGGTTCTACATTGCTATTTAACCCATAGGTGGAGAGAGAAAAGATGAATTCATGCCTTTCCCAAGAGAAGAACAGACCAATGGGATAACAGATTCCAGATAAGTGCTAATAAATTTTTCATTGGAATTCTGTATGGGAGAATATGGCTGATTATCACAGACAGCAATGTTGAAAAATTTGCATAATAGTTGTGATGTAGACTAATCTGTACAGGAATGGTGGCGCTTGCTTATTGACCAAATATAGCGGAATTCTGCTTACTATCAACAGCTTCTTCTACTGCAAGGAAAGTTGGCTCACTGTGGCATACCAGAAAATTTTAAAACTTTATTTCCTGTCCTGGGCATGATGATAAACTACATCCGTGTCCTCTGTATGACGATAAACTACATTCAACAGCAAGGCCTCTGATCAGGAGGTTTTGAGGAGCATGGAACCACCTCTTAATTGCTGGTGTTCCCAGGTCCATCCTGACCAGGGGTAGTAGCACCTGTTAGGGCCCCAGATATGGGAAAATAGTTAATCCCCAAACTGGAGTCAAAACACTATGAAAATGTGAAAATAGATTTTAATACCAGCAATACATTTTTGTAAAAGATTATTACCAGAAATAAATTTTTGAAGAAAAAATTATTACCAGCAATACATTTTCAAAAAAAATATTAGGAGCAATACATTTTTGGAAAAATATTACCAGCAATAAAAATCTTGTCAACATTAAATAACCCAGAGAGGTTGATATGCCATGAAACAAACCAAATCAAACCAAACCAAACCAACCAACCAATCAGACCAAACCAAACCAATCCAATCCAAACCAAACCAAGCCAATCAAATCAAACCAAACCAAACCAAACCAATCCAAACTGAACCAAGCCAATCAAACCAAACCAAACCAAACCAATCAAACCAAACCAAACCAAACCAAGCCAATCCAATCCAAACCAAACCAAACCAAACCAAGCCAATCAAATGAAACGAAACGAAACGAAACCAATCAAAGCTGTGGGTAAGAAAAGACTTTGATTGTCAGCAAAGAATTATTGACTGTCTCCGTTGTTGTTGTTGTTGTTGGGAATGATTTGTTTGAAGTCACTGACACATGTTTCTTTCAGCACATGCTGGCGGGGAAAGAAACAGCTATCTATATGAATACTTTTGAAACAGGAGTATCATACATTTATAAGAAATTCTCCTGAAGGTAGGCTAGAGAAAAATAGGGCCTAACTTTTCTCTGACTGGTCAAATATTTCACATGGTTTATGTTAACTTCTAAGCAATAGACACTTTCATTTAAATAGTGTGTATTGTACTGTGGAATCTTTTTGGCATGTTTGTAAATATTGTCTGTTATTGGGTAGAAAATAAAGTTTGGGTGTGTTTTAATATGGGATGTATGTGGATATGTAATTGTGTTGGAAATAAGATTTATTTCCTATAAGTTAATAAAATTCAGACGTATATCCATTGACAAATCAATAAGATTTGTATATAGGAAATAAATTAAAAGAAAATGTAAATATGGTGATTTGACATAGAAAAATATGATATATATTATTCTGCTTTCACAATTGAATACATGGTAGATGATACTCTCCTTTTGTGCATATACATGTTTGTGTGAACATAATTACTAGAAGCAGTGACATGTCGGTTTTATATTGTAGTTTTGTTGAAGTTATATTTTGGAATACAGTTTGATTTCTTTAAGAAATTGTAAGATATTATATGGATTAATGTAATGAAAGAATTCTTTCTGATGTAATGAATATGCATACACCTGGGTTCCCACTCACAGTAATATGATTGGCTGGTGTCAGCCGTAAATACAGACTGATGTGGAGGTACATGGACTACACCTATTGTCTTTGCCTATTGCCTATGCCTATTGACTACCACTATGACGAGGACCAGTCTGTTACAGTTACCTGCTAGATTGTCCTACCCGGTTACAGTAGTCAACAACCACTTTGCTACTTCAAACAAATATATCCCTTTCTGGGACATAATACTTTCATGTTGGTTGTTTGGTTGATTTTGTTTAGTAGCATACCAACCTCTATGGCTTATTTAATGCTGAAATCTAAATACTTTGAACAATTTTATGGCTTCAACTAAATATTTTCAATGCAATTTTATGCCTTCAACAGCACATAAATCAAGCATCACCACCCTCACCTACAAGAGATATTCTACATTGATTCCTTATACTAGTAATACAGGGAATTTTATTTCAACATATCTCATCTCTTTTTATTTCCATCTCACCTACAGTACTTTGTGGTTTTTCGTTTGTTCTCTTGCAACCATATGCAGTATATAACAGAATTACCAATACATAACTGAAAAAATCTAAGGAAAAGGCATTAACATGGTAACTCAAAAATGTGTTATGGTTCGATTCCTTGTACCATGGTGACAGTCCAAGGTAGAACCAATAAAGAAGAACTCGAACATGGATATGGAATAACACAGATATATTACAAACAGGAATATATACAGAGAAGTAGAAGTGTTAGTATGAACAATCAGGTTTAGTAGAAAGAACAATGTAGTCTTGACCAGTATCACAATTCCAATGTCTTGCAGTAATTGTCTGAACGCGACTCTGTTTCGGACTGCCTCTGACTCGACTCTTGACTCGACTTGAACTACTGACTGACTCAACTTGAACTACTCACTGATGATATTCAGTCACCACTCCCTACTGAGGTGTCATATGGCACAAGGCCTTTTTAATGAGGGATCTCCAAGCCCATGGGCTTGGCCAAAAATATGCCCATTGAACCCGTATAAACGGGTTCAGGGTCAGTTTACCTCCCCGAAAGAGAATCCGCCCTTCGGCGTAGCCTCTTTCAGGTTCTTCCCTGTGCGAAGGCAGAGAGTTCAACTGATCTGTCGTTCAAGACTTGAACTACTCACTGACTTCTTGCCTACTCCTGAGGCGCAGTATTTATGGAATAGTCCATTATTATTATTATGGGTAAGGTCCCATAACAAAATGCTATGGTCAATTTTTAAAATGTCAATAGTCAATAAAATTTGAAAATATATCCATAAACAAATCAATGAGATTTGTACATAGGATATATGCTAAAATAAAATGTAAATATGGTGATTTGAGAGAAGAAAATAAATTTACAGGCAAATCATACAGATGCATGCTGGGATTTCTTCCTAAACAATAAAATGTAAATATGGTGATTTGACAGAAGAAAAATGAAATAAATAACAGACAGTTATAGTGAGAAGAATAAAAATAAATCCTGTATATCCAAAGAAAAGAGTCAATACCTCACATTGTTCAAACTTTTGTCCTCATCTTTATTACCATATTCACAACATTTCAATCGCTGTACACTCCAGCCTTCTTCAGCTGATACTTTTTGGAATTTTGAACTGAACCCTTTATTTAGTCCACTGGTGTATAGCTATCCACTTGTATTTGAAGATACCCATCTACTAGGGTGGCTAGCCAATCCCTATTGCAGATGCTTGCCCAGACACATTTGTGTTTATTCATCACTCACAAAGCCCACCTGTGGTTTATACTGCAACTATGCTGAGCAGACCTTAGTTACAGTTTCTGGGAAAGAGTGTGTAATCTATCATGATCAACAGTTTGAACAAGGTCAGCACACTTAAGCCCTCGGCCATAATGACTTGTGATTTTGTGCTAGTACAGCTATTGACAGCCCCCAAAGGTTCTGTCTTCCCCATATTACTCACAAGGCTTGCGTTAATCTGTGGTATGGTTTTCAGGCACTTTTTAAAGGTGCTGTACACTGAGAACAACCCCTTCAGTTCAATAACATCAGGAAGTCTCCTTGACAAATAGACCATGGTAAGATTTGAACCTGGGTCTCATGGTCCCCTTAATAAGTCAACTCCCCAAGTTTTTGTTCTCTCTGCTGTGGCCAGGTATTGAACTCACAAATCAAAACTCTTTGGGTCAAGTCACTTTTGGATCAATCAACCAG